TTTTTTTTTTTTTTTAGGGAGGTAGCCTATAATACAAGCTATCGTCCGGTACCCACAAATACATCATACTCCTCTTCATGCCCGAGAACGAGCTGTTGGCGCGAGGGGTGGCTTAAGCGCTCGTTAATTGGCCGGTTTACTCTAGCGCACAAATTTGCTGTGGTGTTGACGGTGTAACACCGCCATGGTACGCGTGAGCCTGGAGAGACCTTTCGCCTTAGGAAACCCATGGGTAACAGATTTGAAACCCAAAATAAAATGATCATCAAGCCATTGTGGGCAATAGAAACACACCATCCACACAGACGGTTGCTCGCACAACGGCGGCAGCGGCGCTTGCGTCCCCCAATCCAGAACTTGTGCGCAAGACCTAGGCTCGCTTCTCGCTTCCTCTGCGAGCGCCTGCGGTAAGCTAGCTGGCCGGAGAGAGCAGGCTCAGCCCAACGCGCTATTGCACCACCACGTGTTTTTTTCTATCACCCAGTCCCGGTATTTCATGGGGTGTTGAGTTACATTCACCAAGAAACGAGTCGAAACACTTTTAGTAGTTCCATGACAAAAAAAAAACTGATGAAGCTGTCCCGCGCCCCTGCGGTCCCTAGGGAAGTCGTTGGCTCCCGGACCGAGTGTGACGGAGGCCACGACACATTGACGGTCGTTGCGATGCACTCTACGGGCTTCTAATGGCAAATTCTTGAGACTGTTCAGGAAGAAAAAACACAGCGGGCCTCTTGTGGGAGGGTTGAGCGGGGGCAGGAGGAACACTGCTTCGAACTCACTCGAAAACTCAAGACAAAACGTTACTTCGAATCCATATTGCAAGGCTAACACTCTGACATCGTATCCTCCGTATCCAAGCACTAATAGTAACACACCACCTTCAATAGCCCGCTCACGTAATTATTATATATTTTGCCCACGATGAAAGTTCGAACCACCTTCCTCGAAGCTCGAAATCGATCGACACACCAGCCACAAGAGCCTGCATGTGTGCTTGGGGATCTTCTACATACCTCCTGCCCTTAACGGTCTGTGCTTGGCCCATTTTTTCTCGGCGTGGACCCAAGGAAGGCGCCCGTACAAAAGAAAGACAACAAACAAGAAAAAATCATCTACAGACACTTCGTGCACAGAGGCTTCGAGTGCTCGCTAGCGCTCACAACGGCAGCCAGACACACACGAACGACAAAGGCACCATCCTCAATCGGTACAAACAAATCGCCACGAGTCCGCACACGCTAATAACCGCAGAAGCGGTGCCCCCCTGGTACCACCGCAACCAACCATCTGTGCATGGACAGCACAAGCAGGAGGCCTCCCAAACAAGAAATTAGCGTCCCAATATTGGGCCAGCCGGCGAGGTACGAAAAGCACAACGAACAGGACACTGCAAAAATACCATCGTGTTCTCCTCCACGGGCGTCCACGACATCCATACAGCAGTCTGAATGCATGTAGAGACAGACCGAGACCCAGGAGGTAGGTCACCTAGAGGGTGGGGATACACGAAAGGACAAGAACGATCCTCGCTTCGCTCGGACCGCAGTCAGTCCTTCATCGAGCCGTCTCTAGTGGCTACGGAGAGGGCTTCATGATGAGGTCGAAGTGGTTCCTACGGGTAGGCACGAGGTTGCTATCTACCCTGCGGTACGAATCAGAGAAACTACAGGAGCGGGGCGGAGGTCAACGTGGAAGCAGCTACATTATACAACCAAAGTCAACGTTGAAAACGCGTCACCCACTCACTGTAGCTAAAAGCAAGGCCGGGAGGACTCAAAATTTCCTTCCGAGAGAGGGAGTGCCAGCACAAAGAAAAACAGTCGAAAACCAATACATCACCGATGTGAAACAATAATGAAAAAGACAACGTAACGGGCGATACACTCGCGTTGTCTAGTTTATCCTGAACGTGTGTTTACGGATGGATACAGACGGATGGCCTTGTCGCACACCCCTCGCGACAAACAAACAAGCCCAACACGTAGTGCTGCCTACGCTTGTGACGGAATCACCGAGGCTTGTAGATGTCCCTGACGCACAAGGTTGGTCAGACACTTACATGTAGCACTCCACCCAACATCATCAATCAATGCCGTCGCGCCGACAACAAAACTGCCGGCCTTACGGGCGCACCGTTGTAGGCTCGCCCACAAACGGAGAGATCAGCAAGCCTAGAAGCTCCCACACCTGATCGGGCAGCACGCGCAAGCAAACACTACTGCTTGTGATGAACGAGTACTATGTTTTTTGTTGGGGGGTGGGGGGGGGGGG